GGCTCTTATTCACTATAAGGAGGGGAAGCTCATGGAAGAGGCTTTAAATGAGTTTGCAGCTTTGCCAGAGACATGAACCCTATAATGAAACAAAGCATACAAATTCTTAAAGTAGCGTTACGTCGAAAGGATGCAGATTCGAGCATCGAAAGCCATGTTCGTGTGTACGATCAAACTTTTGAGAAAAGCAAGAACCTTTAGCAACAAGAGAGGCAATGACGATATTGGAGAGTGCAGATATTGCTCTTCATTCTCTCCTGGGCAACAAGAGAGGCAATGACGCCAATGATAATGAGGATTAGATTGCACGTTTAGATGTTTAGTTAAACACACCGTGTATTTTTTTAACGTATTGAGTTATTGAATAACTGTTTCAAACATTCTTATAACTCTGACAATTTTATCTTAGATGAATGCAATTTTATGTTATATAATTTTAAAGAGTTTTAATTTGATAAAAATGGAAGGTTATAAAAATAAAACAAAGATTTGTAAAAGTATTTCTTGGTTTACAAGGAAGGGAGCACAATAATTGAAGATTAGATTAATAAACAATTAGAGGATTATAATCCCTTTTTAATTCCCTCATGTACCTCCGTACATTAAATTAAAAAATTAAAAAAAAAAAAAAAAGGGAAAGGGAGGGAAACGTTGATAATTGCAAATGCTGACGCGTGGCTTAAGTTAATTGAGCACCACCTATCACCCAACAAATATCAATTAAATATTCTCCCTTTGTCTTATTCTAAGATTCTCATCCGATCTCATTCTTACTTGAAAACAAAATTTGAAATTAACAATATATAACATAGAGCATAAATTTCTTCTTTTCAGGTAGGTTTATGTTGATACTAAACCATTCGTCTACCAAATCAACAAATTTGTATGACTAGAGATGTTAGAGAGTGGAAAGTATCTTAAAATGTTCATTAGAATTTCGTATTATCTACTTTTATATTTAAGCATTATGACGGTGTTCAAGAATCTAGTCAGATTGACAAGTTTTCTATTCAATCATTTTCTTTTGAGCTTAACAAGCCTCTTCGAGTGCCAAAGGTCAGTCATTAGCCAACATTCGGCTCTCTCTCTTACTTTTAAGGTCGATTTTACTTCAAGATTCGTCAAAAATCTTTCGATCAAGGATGGTTTAGTACTTAGTACAAAGAAGTGGATAAGATCCGAATGGTGACCAATAAAAGTGAGAATTAAACAGCACTCCATGGAACTTCTCACCCAAAGAATCAATTCCTGAAAATCATAAGAAGAGAAAAGAGAGAATCAAAGATAAAATCAACGATAAAAAAAAGGGAATTTGGAATAAAGAAAAAGAGAGCCTAAGTTTGCTCCCAATTATGTGCGCATATAGAGACAGCACAGCTCGGCGTTGCCCTTGGTAGGTGTGCAACTCACCTTTACTTTATTAGGAGATTTGTCTGAAGGTTAGGTGTTGTGGGTTATGTGGCGGCACCAGAATCTCCAACCTCTCACCTTTCTCGTTCACATTCTTAAAACAAAACACCTTCCCTCCACAAATTCACACGACACCTCACTCCCTTTCACATTAAACTAATCCCCAATCGCCAAATCATTTCGCCCAAATTCGTGCTGCACAATGTGACACCCGAATCATGCATGGCTGCACACTGCCCCCACCATTCCATCTATGTATATATATATATGTATGCACTTGCAAAGCCTCAAAGGGAGTTTCAGCAGAGCTTTAGTTTTGTTGAGAGAGTTGGAGAAAAGGGTTGTCAATTATGGCTACCAAGTACCATGCCAGGTCCATTAGTTTGCCTTCTAAATCACATCCGAGTACTGTGAAGGTTGAGGAGGAGTTGAGGAAAATGAAGACATGGGAGTCTTGTTCTTTCTCTTCTTCTTCTGTTTGTGGTGCTCTTTTGGGATTACAGGATTTGTATGACTCCATTGATGAGCTTCTCAAAATGGGGTCGACCCACCAGATTTCGTCTTGTCCCCAACTCAAACAGTTGGTGGACGAGTTGTTGGATGGTTCTGTGAGGCTTTTGGATGTTTGCAGCTTGGCGAAGGATATGGCTTTTCAAACCCAACAACATGTTGGAGCTCTTTATTCTGCCGTTCGTCGGAGGAAAAGAGATTCCGCCATTAAAACCACCATTGCTGCTTACGCTTGCTACAGAAAAAAGATGATGAAAGAAGCCAAAAAGTTAATGATATCTATGAAGAAGATGAACGAAAAATTCAACTCAACCCAAATGACAAATCTAGATAATCACCTCAGCTCTGTGATTGGAGCTATGAGACAAGCTTACTCGATCAATAGCTCCATCTTGGAATCCGTGTTGTTGTACTTGACGCCATTGACGAAGCCAAAAGCCCGTGGTTGGTCTCTGGTTTCCAAGGGGGTGCACAATGGAGCAATTGCCTGCGAATCAAAAAGTGGCTTGAATGAATTTGAGAGTGTGGATTTGGCTTTGAGCTCTGCAGTAGAAGAAAAAGAAGTTGAGAAGTTGCACATGGCTCAGAGAAGATTGGAGAGTTTGGAAATGGCAGCTCGAGAAATTGAGAGTGGCTTGGACGGTGTGTTCAGGAGATCGATCAAAACAAGAGCCTCTCTGTTGAACATACTCTCTCAATAGATTAGTACTGTATTTCCACAACCAATTTTGAACCCCTGAATCCTGCAAAGGCACATCCAACTTTTAGGGATCCGCCACTTGTATTTAGCTTGAGTTCCATGTCTATAATACGATTTTGTTCTATTTGTTCTTGATCCAACGAGAATAATAGCTTAGTCTTTGATTGATCACTTCCTTTAATGCGTTTTTATCAAATCGCCATACAGAAAAGGTTAAATGGATAGGGTTGGTTGATGAAAATCTTATTCTCTAAGCAAAGAGATTCCAAGCTCAGCCAGTCTTCTAATTCAATCTACCAACAGGCTTTTGCCGTCTAAAATAATTGGAATGGGCCTTGTATCTTACTCAACCCAACCAGATTCCGCATCTGCCCAAGCCAAGTGGCTCTCTTCTATGCAATCTTAACAAGTCAATTTCCTGATACAGGCCACTAAGTTTGTGAACATCTTCTCTTTTACAATACTCTTTGTCCTCTTCAATTCTGAACAGTAATTTCATTAATGCTACAGCTGAAATTTAACATCCCTCAAAAAAAGCTCCATTAAAGAAGCTTCCTACAAGAATTCATGAAATTTACTTTCGCTAATCAAATGGAGGATAAAGTAAGGTGGAGGGATGAGTTGGAGTCTTAATAGGAAAGAAATTATTGGAGTCCTAAAAGTGCAGCTTGCCACATAACTGCACACAAATGTTTAATAAGTTGAAGAAATCGGTACATTACGTAACAGCTCATGTCCACCGCTAATAGATATTGTTCTCTTTGGGTTTTCCCTTTCGGGCTTTCCCTCAAAGTATTGCAATGCGTCTGCTAGGAAGAGGTTTCCACACCCTTATAAAGAATTTTTCATTTTCCTCCCCAACCGATGTAGGATCTCACGATTCACCCTCTCCAAGACTCAGCATCCTCGTAGGCACATTACCTAGTATCCACCCTCCTTCGGAGAACAGCGTTCTTGTTGGCACATCGCCTAATGTAAGACTTTGATACAATTTGTAACGGCCCAAGCCCACCGCCAGCAGATATTGTCCTCTTTGGGTTTTTCTCTTTCGGGCTTTCCCTCAAGGTTTTTAAAATGCGTTTACTAGGGAGAGATTTCCACACTCTTATAAAGAATGCTTCGTTCTTCTCCTCAACCAATGTGGGATCTCACAATCTACGTCTCTTCAAGGTCCAGCATCCTCACTGGCACTCGTTCCCCTCTCCAATCTATGTGAGATCTCACTTATTGGGACCTTGAACATACTATAATATAGATATATTGGTCGGGTGAGTTCAAGAAAATATTGTAAGAATACAATCTGTAGAACTTTTGAATAGGAAAAGTAACCAATATGGTTACTCGAGAAGGCAAGACGTGTGAATAAATTAGTAGCAAAATAGAAATAAGTCATTCATAAGTAACACGAATGGTGCGACTAGAAAGAGACTAAATTTGTATCACTTCCCTAGTTTCTATCTAACCTGATGGACATTTCCGTATTCAACCACTAGTTGAATTAACACACATAGTAGAGCCCTCCCATGACTAGCCACCAAATGCTCTTATCTCCAATCATTTGCATGATAAGTTGTCGCTGATCACCAGCTGGCTGCCATTTGCAAGAGGATTCGATTGATAACTCATATGCTTCTACTCCTTTACAAAGCCAGCATAGCCATCTCATTTGGGCTCCACCCCCCATCTCCCGACAATCCTTGCAAAATTTTTACTATCTTAATCCATTTCACCACCAAAATCTACCTCCAAAACAATCACAAGACCTTAGACTCCAACCATATCCCGTGAAGACCAGTTCCCAATAATTCTAGAAGTTTGACAGCATATTCAAGCAAGGTCAATTTCAAATCGACTTGGATGAACCTTTTTCTCTCTCCTGAAACAGCCTAAAAGTTCTTCAAAACGTGAAAAACAATAGAAAAAGAAGACTGCCATTATGAAACAAAATCACGTATAGTGTCCAAAGGGGATGGCCAGGTTTAATTTAATGGCTACCAATTTCCAACGCCAATGAACTTTCAACTTTCAACCATGGATAAGCGTGAGTTGGCGTTGTGGCGGTGGAGATACGGGGAATGTAAATAAGGGATGACAAGCCACTTATCCCGCAACCATATAAAAGCAAAATAAAGGTCCATTAAATATGGAGAATGGATGATGCCAATTTAAAATTACTTTTTAGCCGGCAAAAGATGTGACTTCATAACCACACCATTGAGTAATCCTTGGCTGCCTTCACATGCTCAATTCGATACCTTAAACCCCCAAAAATGTTTCCCTTTGATTTTGAGTCTCTAACTATATAAATTTGTGATGGGAAACATCAGATTTCATCTATAACCCACATTAGACCCTTACGCAGCATAACAACAGAATAGCCATGGTTGCATTTTCACAAACACCTTGGAGTCGTTATAGAGTTAGAAGCATAAGCTTACCTGCTCGATCGCATCCATCCACGATCCGGGTTGAGCAACAGCTAGCCAAGCTTAGATCCTTGGATTCTTCATCTTTTTCAAGCATTGAAGCGATTTGCAGCAGTCTCTCCGGCTTGGTGGAGCTCTACAGATGCATAAACGAGGTTCTGAACCTGCCACTGCCCCAACAAGCTCTAGCCGTACTCCGAGGTGAAATTTGGGTACAGGAATTGGTGGATAACTCTGTTAGATTCCTGGATATCTGCGACAATACGAGAGACGCTATTTTGGTGATAAAAGAAAGCATTCGAGAACTCCAATCGGCGATCCGGCGAAGCAAATACGAAGATTCCGGCGTCGAGAACAGCATCGCTTCATATATCTGCTCGAGAAAGAGAATCAAACACGAAAGCTTGAAGAAATCGATCACATCGGTCAGACAAACGGATTACACAGCCGGAGCCTCTCCTCCTCTTCAAATAGAAAACGAAGTCACTGCGGCAGTAATCAGAGTACTAAGAGAAGCAAGCTCCGTCACCTCCTCCATCTTCAACTCTCTTTTATCCTTCCTCGCCGTGCCGATGAACAGGAGACCAAAACCTAGCCGATGGGCATTGGTTTCGAGGCTCCTGCAGAAGGGAGCGATCACCCGAGACAACCACACGGAAAGAATCAACGAATTGGTGAACCTAGACATGGCGATCGACAGGCTACAGTTGGAATCGTTAAACAGAGATGGTGAAGCGAAAGAGAAGATTCAATCGATTGTTCGAGAGAGATTACAAGGGTTGGATTGGAGCATTGAAAGAATCGAACGTGGAACAGAGGGATTGTTCAGGGAATTGATTCATACCAGAGTTTGTCTTCTGAATATACTTAGTCAGTGAAGTTGATCGCATTGTGATTTCCCCGCCTCATCAATCCCGCCATGAAAATCGGCTCTGTAGATATCCTTTTTCTTTAATATAAATTTAGATTTATTTATGAATTGGGCCGGGTCGGGTCGGGTCGACACCCACCCAAAATTATTTGTGTCAAAAATATTTTAATTAATTTATTCAATCTCCTTTTATACATAAAAATTAAATTTCAAACATTTATTTTTTTTAAAAAAAAAATTAGAATTAAAAAACTATATTTGTAATTAATGAGAGTTTAAAATTTTGCAAATAACTCAAATATATTATTTAGAAATGACACCTTGTTGCCAACGTGGCAGTTTAGCCTCAGCCACGTGTACCACTCTCAGTCCCGAGTAAGCTGCATCGGATTCTTCCCCCAACGGCTATATCCAAAAAGAATTATTGCAAATGCAACGCTCTGTAAAATGGTCGGCGTGGCAGTGGGGCCCTTCTCTGATCTTCAGCTGGTAAAAGGTCTCCCTTTTTATGCGCCTCACTGTCCCTCCCCCTTCTCTTACAAGACCGTTTCACTTTCTTCTTCTTCTTCGTTGCCCCTTTTGTTTTCTCCGGCCATGACCGCCGCCGCTCGTTCCGTCGAGATCGTCAAGCAGTTCATCTCCCTCCTCCGCCGTGGCTTCAACACCTCCAAATGGTAATGGGTTTTCGATTTTATGTTTTCTTACAAACCCCTTTGGTTTAAAATGTGGGAAAAATGAAGCAATTGATTTGGGGGCACAATGAGAAGCTTCTGAGAAATGGGTTTTTGTTTTCTTCTTGTTTATGGGGTTTTCCGACAGCAAAACAGCGGCGAAAATGGCGGTGGCGAGGATAAAGCTGCTGAGGAACAAGCGGGAGGCGGTGGTGAAGCAGATGAGACGGGACATTGCTCTGCTACTTCAGTCTGGTCAGGACGCCACCGCTCGTATTCGGGTCATTCTCTATGTTCGTTAAAATTGACGTTTTTTTGGACAATATATGTCTCCTTGTCTGAAATTTAGCTCGTTTTTTGCAGGTGGAACATGTGATCAGAGAACAGAATGTTCTGGCGGCGAACGAGATAATTGAACTCTTCTGCGAGTTAATTGTTTCTAGACTGTCAATTATAGCAAAACAAAGGTAAATTTGAGTAAAAATATGGTAATAATGAGTTCTTAATGAATGGATGTTCTTGTGATGTTGGTATCAATTGCTGCAGGGAATGTCCGGCAGATCTAAAAGAAGGGGTTGCTAGTTTGATCTTTGCAACTCCCAGATGCTCGGAAATACCAGAACTTTCTGCACTTAGGAATGTTTTTGAGAAGAAATATGGGAAGGATTTTGTCTCTGCTGCCACTGATCTTAGGCCAAATTGTGGAGTGAATCGGCTGGTAACCACGTTAATCTACTTCTCGATCCATTACATTTCCTAGGATTGTACTGTTAGGAATCACGACACTTCACATTGGTATGATATTGTCCATTTTGGATTTTTCAAAAAAGTCTCATACCAATAGAGATAATGTTCCTTACTTATAAACTCATGATCGATAATCCTCAACATGTTATATTGAATTGTATGCATTTTCTTACAGCTCATTGACAAGCTCTCGGTTCGAACACCGACTGGTCAAGTGAAGCTTACAATCATGAAGGAGATAGCTAAGGAGCACCAGATTGAATGGGACACAACAGAATCTGAGAAAGAGCTGCTAAAGCCTCCTGAAGAACTTATTGTCTGTTCTATTCTCCCGCTCTTGCTATCCTGATGGTTAATTTGTAGTGCTAACGATGGTTTCGATTGTTGTGTGAACAGGATGGGCCTCGGACGTTCGTTAGCGCTGCTAGTGTACCTGTGAAGCCTGTAGCAGCAAGCCAGTCTGCTCCAATTGAAAGGATGAAAGGAGGGAATATCAACCATTTGACAAACAGTAGAGAGGATGAAAGTATGCACTTTCAAGATACAGCATCAGCTGCAGAAGCTGCTGCAAAAGCAGCAAAGCAAGCGATTGCTGCTGCACAGGCAGCTGCCTATTTGGCTAACAAAGACTCGAATCGGGATGTTCGAGACTCGGGTTTAGATCTTGGATTTGGAGGCCCTCAGAGCTTAGGCAGGTGCCGCTCTCTGAAGACTGAGGAGGCCAGGAATAATACAGATCATGAGATGGCTTACAGGAGATATAGCTATAATCCTACAGATATAAAGTTTGACGAATCGGATTGTGAAGAAGAAACTCGAGTGGACAATGAAGATGGCGGAGGTGTTCATCGACCTCCTGATCGAAATCCTCCACCAGTACCTTCGTCTCGTGTTCACCCCAAACTGCCTGATTATGACACACTTGCTGCTCGCTTTGAAGCTCTCAAGCACAGTAGAACTTGATGAGAGCGAGCTTCATTGAGTTGCATTCAAATAAACCAGGAATTTCAGATTCATTTGTTAGTTGTTACACTACCTTATATCATCAAATACTGTATAAAGATCAGAGAATACAGTTTGTTTTTGTTATTTTTTTTTTGGAAGATCAGAAAGCATTATATGTAGAACATCTGTTGTATTCTGATTCGGCTGATCATAATGTGCAAGAAGGAATAGGATTGGTTGATGAACATCAGGATCAATTAGATTATTTCTACATTTTGTTACGACATTTTTAGTTGAGAAATGCCGTCTTTCGGTAAGTTTTTGTTTTTAAGTTCTAAGTCATAACGAGATCTCATATCGGTTGGGGAGAAAAACAAAACATTAAGTATGTGAAAACCTTTCTCTAAAAGAGTCGTTTTAAAAATCTTGAGAGAATGCTCAAGAGAAAAAGCCCAAAGAGAAGAGCATATGCTAATTGTGGGTTTGAGTGGTTACAAATGTTATCAGAGTCGGACACTAGACGATAGTGCTAGCAAAAAAGCTAAGCCACAAAGGGAATGGACACGAGACAGGCTGCCAACAAAGATATTAGGTCCCACATTGATTGGAGAAGGGAACAAGTACCAGTGAGAACACTGGGCCTCGAAGAGAAGTGGATTGTGAAATCCCTCGTCAGTTGGAGAGGTGAATGAAATATTCTTTATCAGGTGTGAAAAACCTCTCCCAAAAAGATGGTTTTAAAAACCTTGCAGGAAACCTCGAAAGGGAATGTCTAAAAAAGTCAATATCTACGAGCGGGGGCAAACTTTTAACAGAATCATAAAGCATCTATTTCACCACCGCAGACAATTTTACACCAGAAGCAACAAGGTTTTCCTAAGCTAATAAAGCTGCAGCTATTTCAAGGGGGAATAAACACCACAACCTAGTGAGAACATGGAACCTTCTACCCACACCAACCACCACAACCTAGTAAGAACATGAAAGAATGTTAAGGAAATGGTACACTGTAACAAATCAGCAGCATCTTACACCTCGTGATGTCCAAACATCGTATGGCCTTATAAATCAGCAGCATCTACATCGCAAGAGATCCGAACATGTGTACGGCCTCGATCTCTCTTCCAATGCTTGAACTGATGGTAGGGGCTCCAATTGATAGACGCTTCTATGACAGCAGAAATCATACAAATTATGGCAAACTCCTTTGCTGAAGGGAAAAACTCTTTCAGGAATGCCCCTGCAAATAACCAAACTGGCTTGTCATTGCTACTAAATGTAAATGTTCTTGGAAGTCTGATGCATAACATGTCATGGACAATGTGCAACACAAATTAGAATGAAAAAATTCGGTAACAGTTTTGTTGAAAAGCTTCAATCGAGAATGAAATGAAAGAAATGAGCTAACCTTAAGTAAAAGATTCGCCTACGTCTCACGAGTTCGTATGTAGTCTGATTTGTAAGAACAAGATAGCTGCAGAACGAAACATTATCGTAACTAAGTCATGGGTCATAACTACTAAATTAAGATGTTCGTCCAAGACTGATTAAGCATGGGGGTAGGGTAATCAACAGTACCTATGAAATAGAAGCAAGAGTAGTAGAAAGATCAAGGCAATCGACAAAGTAATCAGCAGCATAATGACAATAGCAGCATTCCACCTGAGAAAAAACCATTCAAAGATCTCTCTTCAACATCAATTGGAAAGTTCATGGTTTAAGATGGCTGAACTTTTCATTCTACTTTTCCTATCGTTATCTTTGGTGATGTGGTAATGAAATTAACCATGAAATACTACAACAGTAGCTGACAAATTTTATCGAATTCGAAGCGTTGTAAGGGTACCATACCAAGCCCGCACTATATCAGCCTTGAGGTATGAAATGAACAAGATGCCAGTCCACAAGCATAAAGTTGTCTCCTCAAAAATGTACCACCTACGTTGTGAGCAAAACTATCCTTTGTAAAATAAAAGCACAGTAAACAGTATATTTTAACAATCAATTGAAGATCAATAGCAATAATAGTAGTTGTAGAAATAATATTCGATTCAAAGGAACTAGGAACAAATTGTGCACCTTAATCATATCATCAAATACATACAATTTCAATAATCATCTTGACATACAAAATCAGATTGAAGAACTGAACACAATCATATCACACAGAACAAGGCAGATAACAAAAGTAACTAATAATCATATAGAGGATGTGATTCTTTAGCAAATCATTTTTTGGTGCACAACTATCCCACTAAACGTTTATTATGCATTTAGTTCAACATCGTGGAGCGCCTACTAATACTAACATCCGATGGTTCAGAAACTTGTGGAAAATTCAATATCTCCTGAAGCCAATAAATTTTGTTTACCCCATAACTATCTAGTTGAACCCGAGGCTTTTCACAATATACCAAATCTTGTAGTAAATCAGAATCTAAACGAAGGACATTTTACATCAATGCATCATGCAATCCATATCATATTAAAAAAAAAAAAAAAAAAAAAAGCAGCTAAAGCGATGCACAGCAGATTCGCACAAAAAGTACCAACCAAAACAATCAATTTATATGAAGTTGACTATTTGTCACACCTCAAATTTTTAAACCCACCAGAATCGACAATGATTGCCCTGGCCAATACA